TAGTACCAGTGCGTTAGCGAACCTGCATGTGCGATAACTGTCGTCAAGGGTATGAATGAAAAGCCCAAAGGATTTTTGTGAATGGATTGGACCCCGACACGGTTGGTGCAGAGAGCGAGGTAGAATCCACTGAAAGCTATGTAAACCCCCTTGTAAGAAATGTGCAGCAGGGGTCTTTAATGTGTGTGTTTAGAATGTGATAATCCTTCTAAAAGGTCGTTGGTAAAACTTGGTGATTTTAGCCTCTCTCTCTCTCTCTCTCTCTCTCTCTCTCTCTCTCTCTCTCTCTCTCTCTCTCTCTCTCTCTCTCTCTCTCTCTCTCTCTCTCTTAACTTAACTTAGTGCGTTAGTGTTGGGTAAAGTAGTGGACCCGAAGAAACCATTTTTTGTCATCTATTTTATTATGGAATTACGAGTTAAATCTCAATTTGAATCTTCGGGATTGAGGATGGCGGTCTGGGATAATGTGCATTATTAGAATTAGCATACAAGTTCAATTCCGATGGATTTAGTATTACATAATCTCCCTTATTATAGGTTGTAAAGTAACATTAAATATTTATTTGATGTATAGAAAAATTAAAAGAGTTTTTAAAAAAAATTGCTCCTTTCATCCTACTTTCGTACAGACGTGTTTTCTGCTCTTTATTAGATTGTGTACAGTTATATACATAATTTTGCCTGAAATGCGGGGAAATGTACAGCGTAGCCTAAAATTTCTCATGAATTAGAGTTTATCAATATTTCATGAAGAGTAACATATAGTAGTACATTTTCAAGGGAACATGATAAATGTATACATACATAATACGTTCATATTAATGTGTCGCAAGAAATGAATATATCTTCAATGGATCGCCGCAATACAAAGGTAAACAACTGATCCCATGCAGCAGCCACAGGCCTACAGAAGACCAAGGAACCAAACAACGCAAAATCATAGGCTTCATTTCTATGGACTAAATGATTTACCATGTTGTCATTGAATGTGCAAGGCAGATGTTAAGTTCTGTGAAATATAAAATTATTTATTTGTACAGAAAATATCTAATAGATTTACCAAAAAGATTTTACTGCTAACTGGTCGTCCAGAAGGAAAATTGCCAACCAGTACGGTCATGGCTGTCGAGATCGGTACTTTTATATACATTCGTTAGGACAAGATGCAGAAGAGGGGAACGAAATTCAAGACAACCAGCGGAAAGCGAGGTCAGGCCGCGAACTGCTTCCGGTGCAACACGTGCATATACATACATATGTCAGGGTAGAGACTGCAATCGGGTAGAATCAGAGATTCTACCAGTAGAGACTCCGATCGGAGTTTCTACCAGTAGAGTCTCCGATTGCAGTTTCTACTGGTAGAATCTCAGATTCTACCCGTAGAGACGCCGATCAGAGTTTCTACTGGTTGAGTCTCTGATTCTGTATTGTATTGTATTGTATTGTAGACTTTTCTTTTGCATAAAAAAACTGAACAAAATCACATTGACTATCTGATAAATCAATTTATTTGTCTTTTAATACAATACTACAGAGGACTAGTATGCAGTGCAAATTTAGCTAGACATTGATCATCAAATAAAAATGGTTAAATCAATTTAGTTGTCTTTTAATACAATACTATAGAGGACTAGTATGCAGTGCAAATTTAGCTAGACATTGATCATCAAATAAAAATGGTTATTTGGATTAGAGACTCTACCAGTAGAAACTCTGATTGGAATCTCTACTGGTAGAATCTCAAATTCTACCAGTAGAGACTGCAATCGGAGACTCTACTGGTAGAAACTCCAATCGGAGTCTCTACTGGTAGAATCTTTGATTGTACCCTGACACATATATGTAAACATACATATATGCATGCATACATACATACATATAAATACATACATACATATATACATACATACATACATATATAAATACATAAATACATACATTCATACGTACATAACAGAATCATATTTACATACATATGTATTTATGCATGTATCCACACACACACACGCACACGTACACACACACACGAGTACATTTCAGGGTTCCAAGACACACGCAAATAAGCATTCTGCACTGCATCCAAACCTTTCAAAATTGAGTTTGATGCCGAGCCATACACGATTGACTCATAATCTACTTTAGACCTAATCAGGGCTTTACATATAATTAGTAAAGATTTTTATCAGCTCCCCATTTATTACCAGAAATGCGCTTTAATAAACCTAGTGCTTTTTAACATTTCTTTTTTAACTGACCAATGTGGTCTTTCCAACTGAGTTTACTATCAAAGAGTAGACCAAGAGATTTAGCAGAATTTTGAATAGGTATTGGGTGGTTGTCTAGAGTTAGCCTGATGTTCGGTTTCCTCCTATGTGAGAAAAAAATACCCAATACTCTTTCTTGTGGAAAACTTAAAACCCCATTGGAGGCCCCAGTTATGAGTCATATCCAGTGCCAGTTGGATGCGATTTGCCGATAACTCGTTAACTCATTACTACTGGAATGACATAATGCACAAACATCAATGTATAGTATTTAAGATTCCGAGGGGTAGCTGGTAAGATGTCACTGATCATATACAAAAATAATGTTGGTGACAAGACACTTCCTTGTGGGACCCCGTCTGCCTGGACAAAAATGTCCGAAAAAGTAACATTGTCAGAAGACAATTTGACAGAAAAAGTTCTGTCAGAAATAAAATTTTGAATAAAACAAGGCAAGTTTCCACACAATACAAAAGCATTCAGTTTTCTGAGTAGGCCATACCGCCATGTCATGTCGTAGGCTTTGTCTATATCTAAAAATACTAAAATCAAATAATCTTTTTTGTCAATTGCCTCTTTAATATGATGGTTCAGTTTTACTAGTTCATCGAGAGTTTGGCGTCCCTTGCGGAAGCCGCACTGCTCGTTAACTAGCAATAGCCTACTGTTAACAATTCGTTCCATGACCTTGCATAAGCAACTTGTCAACGCAATTGGGCGGTAGGAGATCGCAGATCTGGGATTACCCTCCCCTTTCAATATGGGAATGATGTGGGCGAAGTGCCATGAGTTTGGAAAAGTGTGGCTTTTCCAGATTTCATTGTACACTTCTAACAACTTGATCATGGCATCTTGATTAAGATGCTGTATCATCTCATATCGAATCTCATCGGGGCCTGGGGATTTTCCTCTACAGGCTTCTAGGGCTCGGATAAGCTCATCCATTTTTAGATCTTTATTGTAATCAAAGTCATCTGTAGCAAAGTGAATAGGTTGCAGCTCAGCCGCTTTCTTGGTGGTCAGGAATGCGGGATAGTAATTGTCTGAGCTGCTTGTATAAGAGAATTGCCTGGCAAATGCATTAGCAATGTCTCTAGGTGAATCGAAATTAGTACCCTCGCGGATGATGTTTTTAATTTTGAAAGATGTTTGTTTTTTTCTTACTTATTTTATTTACAGTGAACCAAATCTCTGATATTTTTGTATTGTTATTTATTGTAGAGCCCCGTCAGGAGTCTCTTCTTGCTTGTCTTATTATTCTACGAGCCATAGCTCTTGCTTGTTTGTAATTACAAAAGTTCTCGTTACCGATGTTATTTTTTAAAAGCCTGTAGGCCCTATTGCGTTGGTGTCCACCATGGAACTCTATGCCTAACGCTATCTGTCGAAGTTTTTGGAATGGATAGCAATGCTGGATCTAAAATCGAATTCTGAATATTGTTTATTTTATCATCAATGGTTTCTCCAACAAGTTTGAGCTTGACGTTCCATGTGAAGGCGACCCAGTCTGCTCTTTTTTACGTTAAATTTAGGTGCTGAAGGCGTTCTCACTGTGTTGCATGAATATAGGAAGATAGGAAGGAAATAAAGTTAGGTAGATGATTGCTTCCCAACGAGTCGTCAATGGTGTGCCACAGGCACTTGGCTGCTATTGATGAAGAGACCAGTGATATGTCAATAAAACTCAAATTACCGGTATTACCGTCGGACTACCATCGTTCAGGACCAGATTAGAATCATTAATCAACTTAACTACTTGCTCACCTCTACCATCCACCCGCAGGGAACCCCATAACGTATGATGAGCATTAATATTACCTAAAATTAATTCATTTTGTGGCAGACTATCCTGAAGAGCAAAGAAATCATAGATTATCACATTATCAGGTGGACAATAAACTGAACATATAGTCAGATACGTGCCATTAATTTTTAGGGAGGCTTTCTTTGGTGGATGTACATGGCGACTCCGCCTTCACCCAATACACTCATATATATATATAAATATATGTATATACAGTATATATATATATATATATATATATATATATATATTTGTATATATGCAGTATATATATATATATTTGTATATATACAGTATATATATATATAAATATATATACATATATATATTGTAGTGTACGGCTGTGCACTCGCCGACTCTAAGGCCGATCTCGCCAGGACTGACATCGTCCTCGGGCGCCAAGTGGTTGAGGCCGGGTCTTTACCATGCCATATGCCTGCCTCCTCTAGCATGGAACAAAGGATGTGGGGAACTCTGCGATGCTGACTTTAACTTGGATGAAACGTACCGAGCTCTGTTTCCACCAACGAAGCACTCACTGCGCACCCACACAAGTGTTTCACAAGCCATTTGCGCCTTGCCCAATTAACTCGAGTGTGAATTCATAAGCCGTGGCCAATGCCACACGAACTGCCAGAGACAGGGTTAAGAAGTAATGTGAACATAGTTATTTTTATGACCAACCCCTACCCTCACGGTCCCTCCGACATAAATGGTAGTTCCTCAGCGAAACGACCTTGTCAGGGGCGAGGTATATCAAGGTATTATCAAGGACCTTTTTGATGATAAAGGAGATCACGATCAAAATCGATCGATTATCATTCACGCATTTTACATTCGCGAACCTTGCATTCTCGGTAGGGATCTTGTAAAGAGGTCTTCTAGGTTTGTCATTAGTAGGGTTTCCATTGTTCACAGTCAAATTAGTCTGAGAGTGGTCATGAGTCGCCCCTTCTCCTTGAGGAAAAGAATGGGTAGCTGGGGTATCATTCACCCTGGGTATCGGACCAGGTCCAACCCCTTGGCCTGAAACCATAGTCCTGAAGGGATACAAAAACTCTTAACTTTTGGTATCAACCTAACAGCAATATCTAAGAGAGTAAGGCAGTTTTCAGTCCTCTACCCTCCCAGTGCAAGCCTGGTTGCATTCTTCAGTACCACAGAAGGATCGAGGACACCTTACTGCCGAACTTGCCTAGGCGAAGGACAGTAATTCAATGCCCACCCCCCAAGTGAATACAGGAGTTCATAAGGAACTCCA